ATGCAGAAAGTAAAATGATTTTGATCATAAGCAATTAAATTAGAACGTTACTACTGGGTACAATTTGGATCATCTGTAATCATTGTTCCATTTTGTCTTTCTGAGAATTTTAGTGGAAACAGAGACTTGGTTTCTGTTCTAAAACAGTGTGAATTCTACTAGGCAGACACACAAAACACTTGGAACCATAAGACAAGTAAGTAACTAAGACAGAACAGTCAGATCAAAGGAAGCTGTTAGGGTTTAAAGTCAATGTACATGGAGGATAGTGTAATGTCAACATTCACTTTGAAATTATGTGTCAAAACATCAAATTTTCCCCCTCTGTTATTGGATATATTTTAAATAAATTGAGCACCAGATGAAACATCTGGTTCACAAATAGAATCTATTGTACCAAAAATGCGATCTTTACTTACAGAATAGTACTGAGCATGGATAGATACTTTCATTCTGACAGGGGAACTAAAAAGGGATTTAAGCAGTAACTGATCCAAACCTCCCATCTTGTGATTCTTCAGTAGTTTATACTCTTTGAGTGGAATGACAGCTCTACGTCCTAAGACAATGTTAATTAGGCCTTGCTCTTTTAGAACTGAGTGTATGTATCAATTAGCAAAAAAATTAAGCTGGAGGCATTATACTTCCTGACTCCAAATTATATTACAAAGGTATAGTAACCAAAACAGCATGGTATTGGCATAAAAACAGGCATATGGACCAATGGAACGTAATAGACCACACAGAAATCAACTCATGTATTTACAACCAACTGATCTTTGACAAAGGCACCAAAACATACAATGGGAAAGGACAGTCTCTTCAATAAACGGTGCTGGGAAAACTGGACATCCATGTGTAGAAGAAAGAAACTAGACCCGTACCTCTTGCTGTATACTGAAATTAACTTAAAATAGATTAAAGACTTAAATATGAGACCTGAAACTATAAAACTTTTTGAAGAAAACATAGGGGAAACACTCCACGATGTAGGGCTGGACCAAGACTTTATGAATAAGACGCCAAAAGCAGAGACAACAAAGGAAAAAATAAACAAATGGGATTATATCAAACTAAAAAGCTTCTGCACAGCAAAGGAAACAATCAACAGAGTGAAAAGACAACCTACAGAATGAGAGAAAATATTTGCAAACTATACATCCTACAAGGGATTAATATCCAGATACAAGGAACTCAAACGACTGGATGGTAAAAAACCAAGTAGTCCAATTTAAAATGGGCAAAGGAGCTGAATAGACATCTCTCAAAGGAGGACATACAAATGGCCAACAGGTATGTGAAAATGCTCAATATCACTAATCATCAGGGAAATGCAAATCAAATCCACTTTGAGATATCACCTCACCCCAGTTAGAATGGCTATTATCGAAAAGACAGAATAACAAATGCTGGCAAGGATGTGGAGAAAGAGAAACCGTTCTGAACTGCTGGTGGATCTGTACATTAGTGCAGCTATTATGGAGAACAGTTTGGAGGTTCCTTAAACTACTACAGATGGAACTGCCATACAATCCACCAATCCTACTGTGGAATGTATACGCAAAGGAAAGGAACTCATCGTGCTGAAGAGATACCTGCACTCCCATGTTTATCACAGCTCTGTTTACAGTAGCCAGGCTATGAAACCAACCTAGACGTCCATCGATGCATGACTGGATAAGGAAAATGTGGTATATGTACATAATGGAATATTACTCAGCCATAAAAGAGAATGAACTTCTGCCACTTGAAGCAACATGGATGAGCTTAGAGAAATTATGTTAAGTGAAACTAACCAGGCATAGAAAGAAATACCTCATGACCTCACTCATAAGCAGTAGCAATATAAATAAATAAATAGATAAATAAATCTATCAATAAACAAGAAAGAAAGAAAGAGAGAGAGAAATTAGCAACAATCACAATAATATGTTGAACTTTTTGAAGGAGAGAACAACTGTGGTTGCTGGAAGTGCAAAGGCGAAGGGACGGAAGGGTTAATGAGAAGTTAGTGAGAAATTGGCTAATGAACACAAAGAATGATTACACATTGTAATGATGAATAAGCTGACTATTCTGATGTGACAATCACATATTGTAGACAACTATTGATAGTCAACTATGCACCATACAAATACGTATAATCAATTATGCTTCAATAACAAAATAAAAATTAAAAAATAAGAAATAAATAAAATGAAATAAACGTGCAGTAATAAATCATGTTAAAACTTGTTGGCTTAAAACAGTGATCATTTATTTATAAGTCACCTTGGTGTTAGCTGATCTAGGCAGGGCTTGGCTGGAGGGGTCCTGCTAGTCTCAGCTGAGCTCGCATATGCATCTGTGGCCACCTGAGGGGCTGGGGAAGCAGCTGATCCAGGCTGAGCCCAGGTAAGCTTGACTCTGATCCACATTTCTTTCATTTTCCAACTGGACCAGCAGGTTGGCCCAAGCAACTACTTCTCATAGAGATGGCAGAGGGCAAGACAGAGCAGGTCTCGTTATTCAAGTGCTTTCGGAGACTCTACTTTTATTCCATGTGCTAACATTTTTTGCCAACACAAGTCACATGACTAAGCCAGGTGACAGAGAATCACACCTTACTCACAGTGGGAGGAACTGAAAAGTTATATGGTGAAGGACATGGATACAAGAAGAAGCAAAGAATCAGAAGCATTAGTGCAATTTGCCACAGTGGTTATACTTGAACTGATTAAATGGGACACATTTTGGGATTAAGCACTGAACTAAAAAATTCTATCAACTCCTTAAGGTTTCTAAGATATTCTAAAGAAGTTCTAAACTTTTTAAAATGGAAACTTTTTACACTCAAAAATCATCAAGGATTTGAAGAGGATCATGAAGAGGAATTGATATTGTTTATACCTATCTGTATTTACTGATTTTATAATGAAAACAGGATTTTTAAATGTATTTATTTTAAAATAACAGCAAACACATTACTTATTAACATAAGTAATATATTGTTATAAAAAACAATGTTTTCTAAAACAAAAGAGATTGTTTCATATTTGGTTAATCTCAATATCTGACTTAACAAAAGACAGCTGGGTTTTTTCATACCTGCTTCTGCATTCAATGTCTGTTTTTTCTCTTGGTGAAGTATATGAAGAAAATCGTTATTCATGAAGATTTATAGTCAGAATAGGCAGTAGTAGTTTAATAGCCTTCTCCATCAATTGAGGATATTCTTTAAAATTGCACCAGAATCTGACAAGTGAGAACTTCTTAAGATTTGTGGTATGAAATGTGAAACCAAATCACTGAACTTTCTGTACTTTGTTACATCAAAATCCATCGGTCCCTGTGCTGGCCAGCAGCAATTAAAACAGCAACAACAACAAAACCATTGATTAGTCTTCCATTTGAATGATATGTAACGTAACATTTATTACTACTAAACTCAGAAATCTCTCTCTCTTTTTTTTTTTTGGTGGCAGCTGGCTGGTATGCGGAACTGAACCCTTTAACTTGACATTATAACATCCTCCTCTGACTAACTGAGCTGACTGGACAGCCCTGAAATATCTCTTATTATTGGGAGTAGTTGCACTCATGGAAGTGGACACAAATTTTGCAAAGTTCTAATTTCTCTTGGAAACTCTAATTTTATCACTTGGAGCAAATACTCTCAGTTGTTTTCCTTGAAGAGACACTTCATTCATTTTCAAAGGAATGTCTGTCTGTAACATTCCTCAATGTGAATTGCCATTGTCTGTC